GCCCCTCTCTGCTCAACCAGCTCTGCCTTTTCAGGGCGTCTCAGCCGGTGATTAGGGCCCTAATCAGCAGGACTTCCTGCCAGCGGCTGCCAGAGGTGGGGGCAGGGCTGGGAGGGAGGCAAGGTCAATCCAAGGTGAAGTTCCACAGCTTGGGACCAGGGGAGGCCCAGCGGGGAGATGGGCTCAGAGTGTCCAGCTCCACACCTCTCCAGCCCTCTGTTTCACAGGTAGGGACACTGGCGCCTAGCAAGGGAAGACATTCATCCAAAAGGACAGGCCAGCTCTAGCTGAACAGTCTCCTGGAAGAGCCCTGCTCTCCCACTGAGGGACCCCCAGGCTGGAGACTCTCTCTTGCACTTCCCTTGAAGCCCCTGGTCACACCCCATCCCCTACCCCAACAGCAAACTCCAGTCTAAACCCACAGACTGTTCCCCTGAAGGGTGGCTGCAGACCAGCTGACTGCCCAGGTCTGGCAGAGGTCAAGGGTCAAAGGTGAGACCCACCTCTGGATGAGTGATTGCCTAGATCTGGAGCAGAGGTGAGCAGAGGCTGAGGAGGGGGAGCCAGGGAGGCTCCCAGCTGTCATCGTCATCAACCCGAGCCCATTCTTTCCCAAAAAACAAAAAACCTAACGCCTTTCACAGCTGCAACTGGGCGGGCTAGGGATCCGGAAATGGAGCTCACCCCTGACCCAGAGCAACCCAGGCCTCCCTGGGTGGGACTCAGGCTGGGTGGAGAGCGTGGCTTGGCAGGCCTTGAGGGCTGACCCCTGCTAAGGAGGAATGTCAGGGGCACTGGAAAGCGCAGGACCCCAGAGAGGGAAGAGGTCTGGGATGGACAGGGCGTGGAGCACTCCCTACCCTGCCTGGCTTCCAAGCTCTGGGCTTATAGAGCACTCAGGAAGAAGGAACTGAAGCAAAGTTGCAGCATGAGGAACGCAGGCTAGATTTCAGGGAAGGTTTAAGATACAACAGCCACTGTTTAGGTCTTACTTTAAAATGTAGATGCCACCCCTATGAGTGTAGCCCACGGTCAAGGCTAGCCTGCCTGGAGGCCAGGTCTCTGCCGAGCTCCGATTCAATGACCCCCAGGAAGGGGTGGGCTGGGACCCAGCAGGGCTGGTTTATAATAATGTGTCTTGTTTACAGAGATGGCAGCTTTCTCAGACTCCTCCATAAACACAGATCTGCGGAGGCTCCCTGGGGAAAGGAGGCCTCCAGAGGTCCCCTCAGCTCCGCCTGCCCCCTAGTTGTAGTTGCAGAGGGGAAAAAGAGAGAAACAGGGTACCGGAAAGGAACACTCTGCTCTGGGCTGATTGTAGGACCTCTTTGGGGAAAGCCAGGCCACTCTCTCCTCCACGCTTCAGACCCCCAATTCTCCCCACCTCAGGGAAGAAACAAGCAGGATGCTAGGGAAACAGGCCCCCAGAGGCGGGAAGACCGCCACCACCTGTGATAACGGTTACTACCATTGATGGGGCACTTACTATACGCCAGGCACTGATCCAAGTGCGCTAACTCACTTGGCCTTCATGACCACCCCATGAAGTAGCAACTATCATCCCATTTCACAGGGAGGAAAGTGAGGCCTGGGGAGGGTCAGTCACTCGCCAAGACCACACAACCAGTCGATGGAGTTGTCAGGAGATGGGCCCCGCAGGCTGGCTCAGGACGGGCCCTCTCAGCCTTGGGCCCATGAACACAGCCCTGGTTCCAGACTGACAGGTCCCCAGCAGGCCTGTCCCAAGCCTCAGCCTCTGGCCTCAGTTGGCAGCACTCCTCCAGGGAGGGCAAAGGCCTGGCCTGCCCGCAGGGAGGCAGCAATCATCTAGAGGACAGGCAAGCACACAGGACACTCCGAGGTCCAGGGAGCTGACGGGGAGTGGGACCCAGGACTGGGACCCTCTCTATAGCAAAGGTGAAGATTCCACTCAGGCGCTCTGTGGCCCTCCATCAGTTCCCCAGGACCCAGCCCTGTGGGCCTGTCCCTCCTGCCTCCCAAGCCCAGGCCTGAGCTCCGGGATTGCAGCCCTAAAAAGGCAGGATCACAGCTCCCAGGAGACCCGAAGGAGGCAGCCCAGAAACTGGCTCCAGACCACCTGCCACCCACCGCACACCACTCCAACACCACGGAACCCAGTCACCCTCCCCCAGGGAAACCAAGGTGGGGACAAGTAGGAGTCCTCCCTTCAGGGATGGGAAAGTGCTTCAGGAAGTTTGAGAGAAGGAAAGAGGTGAGGGCTGGGTGTGACCTTGCATAAGGGGCAGGGGCACCCAGGGAGGTGGGCAACGCTGCAGGGCTGGCAGCCCCGCCCCCCACCACTCTCGTTCCAGCTGGCTTGTGCCCACACCTCTGCATGCCTAATAGTCTGGAAAGCTAAGAGCCAGCCGGCCAGGGAGCCACCAAGCCAGAGGCCACAAAAGGACAGCACGGGGACAAAGTAAAGGCCAGTCCCTCCCCAGTCTCCAAAAACCATCTTCTCCCTCCCCCAGAATCACACCCCTCTGATTTCACTTTCTTCGGAGCCCGGGAACGGGGAGAGCTTCCTGTCTTTTCGGTCCTTCACCCCCAAACACATCCCCCAGCTGGGCCTCGGTTTCCCTTTCTGGGGTCAAAGAGACTTGCAGAGGCACCAGGAAAGACTTTCTCCTCAGAGGGACCCACCAGTGGGAGAGGAGCAGGAGGTTGGCTGGGGTGACCTGGGACTCTTACTCCCTCATCCTCAGGAGACAGGGATCAGAGAGCACCCACAGAGCAGAGACCGTGGGAGAGACAGGCCAGGGTAGGAAGGATGGAGCCCAGGGAGGGTCCCAAGCCCACCTGGGAAGCCACCTGGACACTGCAGAGCGGAACGCCCCAGCTCCCTACAGTGGACTTGGAGAAAGCTCCACCGCACCCCACCCCTCGCCTCTCCTCTCGCTGTCCACTACAGGAAAACAGGTTTGGAGAGAGGCCTGGTGGGAGGTGACCCACTCCTCCCACACCCCTCCCAAGAGGCCCTTGAGAACAGTGCCCTTGGCTTGTGCCCCCTCCCGCTACACACACTATTGCACAAACCACTTCAAGCTGTCCCGAAACCCTGCAGAATTTACCAGTGTAGAAACTGAGGCTCGGCTGAGACCTGCCCCTGGGACCCTGGCATTACTCCTTTGCCTACCACCTCTAGGCAGGCCTTGGGACTCCCCCCTGTCCACAGACACTGTTGGCAGGGGTTGGGGGTGAGGTCTGTTCCTTCCACGCCACCCTGTGTCCCACAGTCCATGGAACCAGTCCAGCCCTCGAGGAGTTAACCAACAGAGCAAGGCGCACAGAATCGGAAGACCTCAGAACTCAGCAGGAAACAGCTGGAGGCAGACCTGGTGGGCAGCTGAGGGATGGGTGCCAGGGACTGGCACAGGGCAAGGGGGTAAGGGAGAAGCTTCAGTCTCTCTGTTCCCTAAGTGCTGGCAGAGAGAGGGCCCCTGTGTGTCTGTGCCCACACCCCAGGCCAGAGGCCACAGCTTCCTGGTCCCCATGCTGGTGTCAGAGAATTCCCTGACTCCAAGAATCCCAGGACCTCAGCATCCCAGGAGACCTGAAAGGTCATGCCTCTGACCACATCCCAGCTCAGGAATCCTTCCAAGCTGCTGTCCAGCCGCTGTCTGCACTGCCCCCGGGACAGGACGCTCACTACCTTACAAGGCATCCCCCCATCCAGAGCCACTGGAAACTCTTCTTTAAACTAAGCCCTATTTCCACCTTTGGGCCCCCACCCCCCATTCCTTCAACCAAACAAAAATCTACTCTCCCCTTCTTGCTTCCCGCTCCTAGGTTAGGAGAAACAGGACACTGGGGGCTCCCAAACTCCAAGGCCTTGGCCACAGTCCATCCATGCCAACCAGATGTCTCAGAATGGTAGCTCCTTCCCTTGTGTGGTACGCACCCAGCCCAGCCCAGCCCACTCCACTGGACCACCAGAAAGCCAGGTTTACACATCCTGGGCACTGCCACCCCAGTGGGACATCCTACATTTCTGCTCTGAGGGAGGTAAAGCATGAAGAAGTTTGGGATGAGGGATGGGGAAGAAAAGTCAGGGGTTTGGAGATTCCTGGACTATACCAAGACTCCTCAGTACCTGATCCAAGTCTCGGCTCCCCACCCCAGCTCTGCTGGCCCTGAGGGACCAGCTGAGTACCCAGCCCACTTCTCTCATCTCCCTGCCCTTCCTCCATAGCCAACCCCAAGTTGGGATCCCCAACACTGATCCTATTTAGGGTTCCTCACCGGACCCTGGCCAGAGGTGTCAGGGCAGAGGGCTTTGAGGTCCTAGGGGAGAGGTGGGGTTGGGGAGACAGGAGTGGCCGCCATCTGGCAAGGGTAGGAGTGACTTAAGGCCAAGTCTGAGCCACAATGGTCCCCACCCCACTCTAGGCAGCTTCAGGAAGGGGAAAAAGTGCTTCCCCCCAGGCCCTCCCATTCCACCTCTGCTCTGCTGAACCGCTGCTGGGGCTTCCCCAAAACACAAGAGGCAAAAGTCCCCAAACAGAAGAGAAGCCCGTGTCCCCAAGGACTCTGGAACCCTAGTCCCTGCTCCTATTCTTACCCCACAGTTGCCTTCCTACCCTCCCCAGGCAGCACCCATCCTGTCCCCTAGCTCTATCACCCCCCTGCTGGCAGCCCAGCTGAGAGCCCAGCAGGCTTCTCTCTGACCCCTTCAGCCGTCCCTTCCCAATTTCCTCTTCTACAGAGGCCAGTCTAAAAACATCTGGGCAGGTAGTCCTGGCCCTGGCCCCTGGTGGGGCGGGGCGGGCGGCGGTGGGGTGGGGTCTGCTGAGATCAGCCCCTGTACAGCTTCTCCCACTGGGGAAGGGGCGCTGGTCAGGGCATCGGAGTCAGAAGAGGGGTGGGGGAGGGGTGGAAGGCAGCTGCCCATGTCTGTTCATTAACCACCTGGATTAGCCATTTCTTCCCAGAGGGGTGAGGAGGGAGTGAGCCTGCTGGCTGGGGGAGGGCGGCCGGGGCACTCATGCCAGGCTGTGCCCATGGGCAAAGGTGCACCAGACCCATGTAGAGGGGAGGGGGCTGGGGAAAAGAGCTTTTCACTAACTCTTCCGACCTGCCAACCCATTCCCTGCAGCCTTGGTCAGCCCTCTGGGAGCAAAGAGAGCCCCAAAGAGGAGAAAAGTCCCCAAAGTAGTTCCAGGGTGACAGGGAAAGAAACGAAGAGGAAAAGAGACTCACACCCCTCCTGGGCTCCTCCACCTGGGCAGGCAGGGAGCAGAAGAGAAGCCCAACCTCCTGCCGACCCCACTCTGTCAACTGTCCGTCACAAGTCCTGGGCCTCTGTCTTAAGCAGCCCACGACACCAGCAACTTCCCCAGCAGGCAAGGCCACTCTGGCGCGTGTAGGGGTGGCCCCACCCCAGCCATCCCTGCCAGAGCCGGGGAACGTCTGAAGACAGCAGGCTGACAGGTGAGCGCCAGGGGCTAACCTAGCCCAGGGACATGTGACAGGGTGGGGCTGACCCCACCTTCCCCTAGTTTACTTCCTGATTGGTGGTCTTGACAGCATCGATGCGACGTGCCAGCAGTGCTGGCCAGCTCCATCCCCCTTCACACACACACACAAACACACGCACACTCACACTCACCTTTCCGGCAGAGGCGCCACTGGGTGGAGCGGGGGTCTGGGCCAAGGGACGGGCAGGACAGGGGCGGTGGGCAGCGGCGGGTGGCAGCGGCGGGTGGCAGCTGGCTGGCAAGAAGCTGGTTGCCGAAAGGAAGGCGGTGGGTGGTGGTGAGTGCGCTTGGTGTCCAGGAGGGAGCGGGTTGGTGGCAGCCGCACTGGTCCCGAGGCCACGGCCCGGAGCAACTGAGCAGCGGAGGGCGCCGCGGGCCGGGCTCCCTCCCCGGCGGCGACGCGCACCGCCTCCTTCCCGGAGCCCGCGCGGCTGCCCCCCGCCACGGCCGCGCCTCCTTTAACCCCTGCCGCGCTCCGCGGGCGCCGCTGCACCCGGCTGCGGCCAGGCTCGGGCGGGGCGCTGACACCTGGGGCTGGAAGTTGACCTCCTTTGGCCCTCGGTCTAGCGGCTTCCTAGGGGGCTGGGGGAGGGGTCTGAGGACTTAGGGGACAGGGTTGCGGAAGGGGGCAGGAAGGAATCAGGACGCCAAGAGATCCAAGATCCCGTGGGACAGTCACCGATAGAGAAAGGCCAGAGGGGTGAAGGGCCGGAGCTGGTGACGACAACGAAGCAACCTTCAACTTTTGGACAGGACTCAGCTTTGTGGTATTTCCAAGGCTTTTGTGACCAGACACCAGGAATCGCCCTTCTGGACCTGCTTTTCGGTTTTTTTTTTTTTTTTTTTTTTTGATCTGTCAAGTGTGGGACAGATTTGAACTGAGTTCTAGTTAATGAAATGCATGCTTCAACTTCAACTCTCTTTGAAATGCATCAAAAAATGTAAGATGGACTGATGGAAAAGCCATTGTCCCAGGGTATCCTTGGAGTACTGGTTGCAGGACCCCCAGGATACCGAAACTTGGGGTGCTCAAATCCATTCTATAAAGTAGGACAGTATTTGCAGAAACCTGCACACATCCTCAGTATACTTCAAATCACCGCTAGAATGCCTACATCACCTGGTACAGAGTAAATACTGGCTAAATAGCTGTAGTGCTGTAGTTATTTAATGGACAATAACAAGAAGAAAGTTTGTCCATGTTCAAGACAATCACTTTTTTTTTTTTTCTGAATGCTTTCTACACCAATGCAGAATCCAGGGCTCTGGAGGGCCAACTGTATACCAAAGTGTTAGAATCCAGACGGCTATCATCATTTCAACTTTCTACACATGTGAAATATTTTGCAATTAAAAATAACAAGGTGAAAGCTAATTGAAAAACTTGGGGGCATCTTACAAATGTCACGAAGAAGCTGATGGGAATCTCTTGAAAGGAAGGGGAATGGCATTTGCTGCTCACCAATAGTCTGCCAGGACTCTTGATTCATCTTTGAGTCATTCTGGTTGTCCTAACTGAAGAAGGTGATGTGAGAGTGGCCAGAGGACTTGTTGAAGGCTGAAAGGGTGGTTAAGAAAGGAACTCCAACTTGAGCAGGCTGGCTGGGGCCTGTGGACCAGGGACCTACATCTCTGAACCTCAATATCCCCTGCTGGACATCAAGTTTGGATCCAAAGGTGCCTAAGATCTTTTCCAGTTCTAACACTCACTAATTTTATTTATTCTACTCCTTTTATTTATTTATTTATGGTACTAGGGATTAAACTCAGGGTTGCTCTGTCCCTGAACTATATCCTCAGCCATTTTTATTTTACTTTTGAGACAAGGTCTTGCCCAGTTACCCAGGCTGGCCTCAAACTTGTTGATCCTCCTGCCTCAGCCTCCAGAGTTGCTAGGATTACAGTGAGCACCACCCAGCCAGCCATCACTAACTTTATTAATCCAGCCAAACCTTCCCCAGGATCCAGGCTTCAGTTTTCCCCAGGAGTAAAATGACAGGGGAACCCAAAGGAAGGACAATATTTGGGGCATCTGGGGCCAGAACCACAGGGAGATTTTCAGCACTCTGGAGGGCTTCCCTGCCCCCAATCAGTGAAAACAAGCTCCTGGGGATGGACAGGGAGAGGACTTACATGTGGGAAGGGCAGAAAGAGGGACATCATCCCCTTTCCTCAGCCCTTCCCACCTCCCCCTACTCGATAGCAAGATGACCTCATCCCATCCCAAGGAGAAGAAGAGTTTGGGTTCCCAGATCCCCAAATTCCAGCCTCTCAGAACCTACAGCCTAGACAGCAGCCCCCGTCTTGGAGAGTGTGGATGTTGCTCAGAGATGGTAAAAGTCAAGAAGGATGGACTGCAGGGTCATCTAGCTGGGTGCTCCCTGCCGCGCTGACCAGCCCAAACCAGCCTCCCACTCACTGGCCCCAACTCTGGGGCCAAGGTGACACCTACTAGTCACATCCTACTCATCCCCTACCCCCACCCCCACTGACTAAGGGCCCCTCCCAGGCTTGGTCAGCAGCCCTGGTCAAGTGAGGGCGTGGTGCATTCTGTGTCAATTTCACTCTCGGTCCCCTAAGAGGTGGATGGGGGCTGTGAACTCTAACACTGGAGTCCCACCCACTGTCAGGTCCCCAGAACAGCAGAATGATCCACCCTCCCCATCCCTCCCTTCCCATCCACACCCATATTATCCATGGCTCCCCCAGCCCACGACATCCAGTCTCAGCTACACACAGAGCATTCCAGGAGCTCTGGGACAGCCCCTCTGGAAACTTCTCTCCCCCATCCCTTAACTTTGACCTCTATGCCTTTCTCATCCAGGGCTCCATTCCAAAGCCGTGTCCTGCAGAGAGCCTTCTCCAACTGCACCACTTGGTTGGCACTGCCCCTGGCACCCCAGCTCCTTCACCAGGCTGGGATGTACAGTCGGCTGCGTGCACTTCTGCACCTCCCACTTGTTGAGCAATGAGAAGTTTGTTCATGCCTTTCTTTCCCCTTTCCTTCTCATCAGCACCTAACATAATAAGGTGGAAATGTACTAGATGCTCAATAAATTATGAATGAATGATGGTGGAGGAATGGTCAGGCAATGATTGGTTAATAACTGGATAAAAGAGCATTTTCAAATGCTTCTTATTGCACAAGGCTACACCAGACATTTATCTTTGAAGTCATATAATTGCAGGCAAAACAACAAGAACAAAAACTGACCTTGCTAGGATGAGAACCATCAAAGTGATACAGGAACATCCCAGAAGCATCCGACCTCTCCCAGGTCAGTGACAGATCTCAGGAGCCCTGAGAAGAAGCCTCCTCCTCCTCCTCCTCCTCCTCCTCCTCCTCCTCCTCCTCCTCCTCCTCCAGCTGCCCTCAGGAGCCTTTAGAGGTCACACTATCCACCCCAACATCACCCCCTCTTTTCCAGCCTGTACAGAACCAAGAACTCAGCAGTTCCTGACAAGCCACACCAAGAGGACTTCAGAGAAAAAGAGCACTTTCCTCCTTATTCCCGGGCTGTCCCACAGCCCATCGCCACCTGGCTCTGTGTGCACACTCAGGTGTGAACACTCATGAGCGCACACACACACTGAGGACTGCTTTCTAAAGAAGCTTGCTCTCCTCTTCCTTCTCCAGACCAGCCTCCCCTCCTCCGGGGCTCTGAGGGGGACTCCAGCACTTCCCATCCGCACCCCTCACACCAGCCGGGCCCTTTCCCACCTCCCTCCCTCCCTCCCTCGCATCCCCGAGTGCAGGACTGCACATCTGGTTCCAGCTGTGGTCCATTCAGGGGCAGCCCCAGGGATTCTCATACAACTGAATAATGCCCATGTGGGTGCCCGGTGGAGCTGGGGGAAGGGGGGACGGGAGGCAGAGGGCAAGGGTCGGGCAGGGAGAGGGGGTGGCAGCAAGAGGTGAGGGGACCAGGAACCAAGAGGAGATGGCCGTGCCTGGCTCCTAGCAGGGCTCAGTGGTGGCTTGTTAGCTGAAGACAGAGGGAGGTTGCACAGACAGACGACAGGAAAGGCAGGAGCAGAAGGACGGCACAAAGAAGGGGTCAGAACCAGAGGCCCAGGAGGAGAGAGGATGGAGCTGGGGGTGGGGAGGTAGCACCACGGAGCCACAGAGAGGCCATTGAGAAGAGCAGGGGAATGAATGGTGTGTGTCGGGGCCAGGTGCTGAGTTAGGCACTTCATTGCAGAGGTGGGGGCATAACAGAGAAGGGGACAGAGAGCACAGAGAGGCAGAAACAAAGGCAAGAGTGAAGTTGAGATCTCCGCCCGGCTGCCTCGGTGGTTGGGGACAGGACAGGAGTCCTGGATCCACCCGAGCTGGCTTCAACTGCCCCTCCCTGAGTGCCCACCCTGCACCCAACCTTTCCAGAGCGTATTTCCATGCAAGTCCCATGAGGAACTGGGAAGTGGCCATGATTCTAGCCTAGGGGCACCTCAGAGCAGTGAAGTCCAATCGCAGAGCAGCTGACAAAGGGAGTTTGGATCCAAATCTTCCAACTCAAGCCCGGACACAACCCGAATTCTGGTTCCCAGCTCTCCCTCTGGAGGGTGCCATGTCAGGTGACCCTGTGCTCACAGGGTCAGACCTCAGTGCCCTGCAGGGAGGCCCAGCTTCCCTGACCTCCCAGTGATGGAGATGACAGCCTTGGGGGTGGGTTCTAGTTTCTGGAGCTACCCCTCCAACCCTTCTTCCCTCTCCATCATAGAGAGGACAGGGCCACATGCCCAGGTCCCAAGGGGAGGGGCCACATGATAGCCCTGGGAAAAGGAGTTATTCTGGGTTCTGAATCCTGCTGCGCCCAACACAGAGCTGGCTAGAGGCCGGGCTCCCAGGGTCACCTGGCATTGGTCCATGTCTGTGCATTTGAGTTGACCCCTCCCCTTCTACCTACACCTGTCCCCCTGCAGTTAGGGATGAGCTTAGGCTGTCCACCAGGTTGTTTCCATCTCAGGGTCACCCCTTAAAAGTCCCCTTCCTAGGGCTCCCTCCAGAACTGACCGCAGAAGCCACACCCACACTGTGACCTGAGAGCCCCTCTCTCCCTCCTGAGTCTCACCTATTTATCATCAGATGAAGACCCCCATCCTTTATTTGCATCTCATCTGCATGTATTTGCATAATCTCTCAGCATACAGAACTGGGCATGCTCCCCCAGGGAGGGAGAAAGGCTGGGTCTTCCACATTCCAGAGGGCAGAGGATGGCAGCACAGGGGAGTATCAGGGAAGCTGCCACCAGCAGCTTCTCCCTGGGTGCGCTCAGCACCCTCCCGCCCCTGACCCTGCCTGTCTCCAGCCAGGAGGTGACACCGGAGTCCAGCCCCAGAGCCCTGGATCAGGAGCCAGGCCTTCATGACGGCAGGGCAGACTCAGGCCCTCCTGGCTTCAGTTCCTCACCTGACAGCCTCTTGTCATCTCCAGGTTTCCTTGGAGATTCCCAGGAACACATTTCTAGGTAGACATTGGTCCTTGGCAGAAAGTCGCTCCTGATGTCAGGTCACAGGACACAGATCCCTCGCCTGCCCCAGAAGCTCAGTTTCAAAGCTGGAAGGACCCTGGGGACTCAGCTGCCTCCAGACCAGGACTCCTCTTGGGCCGCCCCTCCCTGCCTTTCCCACAAAGACCACCAGCTTCAGCCTGGATCCTTCCAGTGAGCCCAAGATCCCCCCCCCCCACAGGGCCACATCCACCCTCCACCCCGTACGAGGAGGTTCCTAGACTGAGCGTCGGGGAATCCCCCAGACCCAGCTTATCTGGGTTTCAAGAAGGCGTTGGCAGGCTCCATGATGAAATTCTTGGAGACAAGATAGAAAGCTGAGTGGATTCCTAGCCAGCAAGCAAGGGGGTGTTGATTAATAGATCACTGTCAACTTCCTGACTGCCAAAGGGCTCTGTCCTCTGCCCCGGCTTGTTCAACCTAGTTATCAGTAATGTGGGTGAAGATGAAGAGAGGAGGCTTAGGGAGCACCCGGAGAGGAAGACGAGGTTAAGACCCAACCAACGCAAAATGCAAAGCTGACTTTATACATGAGCTGCAATTAGCCAGGGACCATTCCTCTTGGAGTAACCTCCTAACCTACAGTTCACATGTCATAAGAAGCATGAATTAATAATAGTTCATTCAGGGAAAGTTCTAAGATTTAGTGGAAACAGAAATTCAGTTTAGCTAACAATAGAATATGGCTGCCCCCAAATGGCACAGGTACTTTGGGTTATGTTCATAGCAATATATAATCTAGACCACAGGAGGTGAAATTCCACTCTACTCCATGCTGCTCAGATACCATCAGAAAGGATGGGTTCTCTATACCCCATAAACCAAAGCACATCCAGAGGAGGACATCAGGAGAAAATAAATATTTGATGAATAAAAGCATAAAAAAAGGCTAAAAAATAAAGGACTCAAATTTGATCTCAGATGATAAAGAAAAGACACAACAGGCATCATTAAAATTCTAGAAAAACTGTCTTGGAAGGTGAGCAGGAAAAACTGCTCCGCCCAGCCCTCCGTGTCCTGCTGCCCCTTTGTGCGTGAACTCCTGGGAGCCTGCGACCATTCCCACTCATCTTGGAAGGGCCAAGAGGCCAAGGGCCAGGAGCAGCCTCTAGAGATCGGACAGTATTCAGACAGGGCCAGTCTCATGGGCCTGGCCAGTGGGGAGCGTGCTGGCCACCCCGCGAGGGCTGACCGTTTGCCAAGCTGGCTGTGGGCCGGGGAAGGGGAGGGGGCCGGGCTGGTGATTGAATGTGGGTTCACACATGCTGTCCCAGGCAGACCCGACCACTGGACAAGGGACCCTCCCACCACCCAGCCCTCCCCTGATTTGCCACTGCCCAGTAGTCGGCTGGGCACCCTGGCCCAGGTGCCCCTCCCTGCTCTGCCTCCCCCTGCCCATCATCGCCCCATGGCCTTCCTCTCCCACCCTCCTCAGCCTGGCCCTGTGTCCCTGACCCTGTTCTTCCGTCCCCCCTCACTCCTCCGGTGTTCTCTTAGGACCCTTCTCCTTGCCGTGTTCTTCGTGGTGACAAGATGGGGACAGTTCCCTCCAACTCCTCCCTCACCCTCTCCACAGCAGTTTGAACTGGACAGCACTTTTGGGCTGCGGCAGCTGGAGACTCCTGTTCCACCCCTATAAATAACAGTAATCATTTGGATTCACCTCAAAATGCAGTGCTATCCCTCCTGGGGCATAAAAATCAGACAGAGAAACCTGGCCCCCTCCTACAGAGGCTCAGGAGTAGAGGGCAAAGAATCCAGGACTGGAGTTGTACAAACCATGTCTGAAGCCAGGCTACCCTACTCACTGGCTGTGTGGCCTCTGGCAAGTTACTTAACTGCTCAGAGCATTGAGTGCAGGGTCTGGCCCACAGCAACCTCCCATAAGCGGGAGCTGTCTCCACATTCTCCTTCTTCAAAGATGCCATCACCACAGCCATCCCAGAGTCCCAGTTCATTTCTCACATCCCTATATGTCCTTGTCCCTGTTTAATAAGTGCTCAAATTTATTGAGCTCTTCCAGGTGCCGGGCATTAGAACTTGGTGGCATCCATCCTTCTAATCCTCCTGGCAATCCTATGCTATCGACCACCATTCACCCCACTTTAAAGATGAGAAAGTGAAGTCCAGAGGCATCGCTGCGATTGTTGCCCCTCTCCTGACCGAGGCAGCAGCATCAAGGCGGGAGAGCCGCAGGGCCGTGCCAGGACGTGGTCAATGCCCAGCTCTCCCTGGGCCTGCAGGTTCACCCAGGCCCTCAGAGCCCACTCCCTCCAACAAGTAGCTTCCACCCGGGGGTGCAAACCTGCTTTCTGGGGTCCTCACTCCTACTTTGGAGAACAAATCCATTCAAAGCTTTATCAAAAACCACCCACGTATGCTCCACGTGCCAGAGAGGTGGCGTCACAGGGTGGGCGTCCCCAGTGGTTCCCGGCTTCTGGATCCTTCCACACCCCACTGCTCAGGTGTCTCTGTGGTTCGGAGCTGTTTCCAGCTGACCCTCATTCATTCATTCGTTCATTCATTCATTCATTCATTCTGCCCAGGCTCTCAGGGTCTGCAGCAG